CTCTTGGATATTCATAAGTTACAGAGCTCCTTCCACCTTTTAGATTTCATTTCAGTTGTAATAAGAAGGCATAAATAATTGAGAGACATGCAATAAATTATTCAGCTAAGTGCACAGTTTCCAAGGAATCCTAGCATGAGTCGGGATTAATGGTATAATGCAAGTCAGAGGCAGAAGTTGTGCTGACACCCTACCATTACCACATGCAGAAACGGTGCTGGGTGCTTGGCGCTTCTCAGCATGTGCCTTCCACCAAGGGGACATATTAACACCTCTTGAATATTGATGGAGTTAAAGTCCCTTCTGCCTGCTGTGTACTTCTGTTGCTGGGTCGTGCATGCCTATAGAACAGTGAGCCTTAACTCAAAGCTTCTTTTTATGCAATTGATTGGGATTTTTGCTATCCAGAGATGCTTGCAATGTCTTCCCAGTGAACATGGTTCAATAGCACATGGAACTTAACCATTATAACTAATAAATAATACAGATATAAATTAATTGGAGAAGTGGCCTTTAAGAATAAAAAGGGTTGGTGGGGAGAAAATGGCCAGAAGTTATGGGCAATTGTGGTAATTGTCATAGAAACATAGACTCATACAGCTGGAAGGGGCCTAGAAGGCTGCCCAGTCCAACCCCCTGCTCAAAGCCAGCTCAAGTCTCCCATCCAAGATTCTAACCAGGCCTGAACCTGCTAAATTTCCAAGATTGAAGTAAAGACAAGTTTGCATTGAAAACCACTATTTTATTTAACTGTGCAGATAGCAATATCTCCTCAATATATCAATGGATAGTTTGTCATGCTAGCACTTCATCTAGGAGACAGTTGGCTATTTCTCACCTCCACCTTGTCTTCTCATCTCATATGCATGACTGATGTTGTAGTGTTGGTTAGTTATTTATATGGGCGTGAAACATATTTTTTCTTTTTGAAAAGCAATAAAAGAATTAAAGGTGAAGATAATTTATGGCACAAAACACTAAGAATATTTTTAATAGTTATATAGGCATTATTTCTTTAGAACATCTCACCTCCATCAGTTGTTTTTATTCCTTAGCCTAAAGTGATAGGAATTCAAGAACAAAAGTCAGGTTTTGTCTCATCAGTGCACTGACTATATCCAGATCGGCTTGTACTGGTTTATACTGTGATGGTATCTGAGGGCTCTATCACAATCCATAACAACTGGCTTCAGAAACTGTTTGCTTTCAGATGCAATGGAACCATGAATGCAGGAGGGGTAAGGGGGCTAAGTCTGATAAGAAAGGCAAATCAGTTTTGTATCTATTTAATTTTATGGTTCATCCACAAAGAATTTTAGGAACTGTCATTTTGTGCAGCCATAGAAAAAGTCTACAAACTCCCAGAAGGCCCCAGCCAGCCACAGAATTAGGAATTAAGCCAGCTTTCCCCAACCCTGTATCCTCCTGATGTGTTGGGCTACAGCTCCCATTATCCTCAACCAACAATTGTAGTCCAGCACAACCAGAATACACCATCATGGGGATACTTGCTCTAACCACTATACTGGGTCTTAGCTAGTTCTTCTACCATTTTGACACTGATCCAGGGAACAGTCATGGACAAGAGCTCATCCCTAAATAAGCTACATTCAAGGCTGTATGTGTGTGTATCTGGCACAGAATTCAGTTCATGAACATCACAATTTTAAATAAAAACACAAGTGTAGATCTTCTAACCTGGAACATAAAAGCCTATTGAATAAGCTTTCAAGATATGAATCTTCCCTTCCCAGCAATACCTCCTAGTTCCTCCTCCTTGACTAGTAAAAACAAATACATTATGCAAAATCTGCTTAGAGAGCCTTTAGACCATTTTTGTGGTATATAAGTTTAATAATAATATGAATCAGTCATATATGCTAGTTTGGATAATATATTACAATAGCACTTTATAGTGTCATCTAAACGCAATTCTATATATCTTATTAATTTTTTTTAAATAAGAAGCTAAATCTAACAACTTCACACATTTGTCAGAAGATGTCTTTTTATGGAGAAAGAGAAAGGGAATATAATTTACAGATGCATTGGTGCAGTTGTACAAATTCAGTATCACTTAATTCCTACCTCTAGGGCCCACTTGAAAGAGCTGAAAATGATGAAGGCCCACCAGTCACAAAATGGTGGCAGATGCAGGCAGGACTGCATCTAGCAATTGCTGGTATCTTTTTATACTGCTGTCTTCTACTCCCTTGAAAACTACGCAACTAAAATGCCTTGGAAATTTTGACCAGCTGTATGTAGGGTATACATTTCATGTAAATGACTAAACAGCCTCTCTCCTGCTGTCCATAGCAGCAGTGGAGCAATGATGCATTTAATCCAGAAGAAATCTGGACAAGGTCATGAAATAGGCATTAAAAGTAATGTGCTATATTGTAATTATTTTAACAACAGCAAATTATGTATTGGTTTCAATCTGGATCAGCAGGACTTTTTTCAGTTGATGAACAAGAACTATCAGTTTACGCTCATGTTTATAAGACCTGTAGGCAAGACCACATGCTACCACTGCAGATCTCATTTTTTGACTAGGTAACCTCTCCAACGGATAGACCATGGACATAATCTATCTAGACTTTAGCAAAGCTTTTGACATAGTGCCCCACAACCTTTTGATAAACAAATTATCAAAAAGTAGACTAGATAGAAAAACTATTAGGTGGATCCAAAATTGGCTGCTAAATTGGGTACAAAGAGTGATTATCAACAGCACCTTTTCAAACTGGTAACTAATGGGGTGCCACTCAGTTTTGGGATCAGTGTTCTTCAACATCTTTATTAATGATTTAGGTGAGGAAGTACAAGAAAAGATAATCAAATTTCCAGAAGATACAAAATTGGGTGGAATAGTAAAAATCCTAGAAGACATAAGGATCTAGGATCTTGATAAACTTGAACACTGGGCTGAAAGCAACAGAATAAGATTCAATCGGGACAAGTGCCAAGTCCTAGGAAAAAGAGACCAAATGCATCGATACAAGATGGAGAATACATGGCTCAACAGAACTGAAAAAGACCTTGGACTAATTGTGGACAGTAGGCTACATGTGAGCCAACAATGCAATCCAGTTGCAAAAAGGACAAATGCTATATTGGGATTCATTAATAGAAGTATTACTTCCAAATCATGAGAAGCAGTAGTTCCCCTATACTCCTCATTAGTCAGACCTTGTCTAGAATACTGTGTCCAGTCCCAGGTACTTAAGAAAGATGCAGAAAAATTAGAAAGGGTCCAGAGGAAGGCAACAAAACCAATCCAGGGTTTGGAAACACTGTCCTATGAGGAGGGACTAAGAGAACTAGGCATGCCCAGCCTTGAGACAACTGAGGGGGACATGCTATCCCTCTATAAGTACTTCAAAGGCTGTCTCAAAGAGGAAGGTCAAGATCTCTTCTTATGGATACCAGAGTGTAGAAACAGAATAATCAGTTCAACCTGTGAGAATCCAGATTCAGGCTAGATAGTAGAAAAGGTTTGCTCACTGTCAGAGCAATATGACAGTGGAACAAGTTGCCAAGAGAGATGGTTGGCTCTCACTTGAGACATTCAAAAAGAAACTGGACAACCATCTGAGTGGGATGGTGTAAATTGGTGTCTTGCAATAGCAGGGGGTTGAACCTGATGGCCTTCATGGCCCATTTCAACTCTACTATGATCCTTATTGACCATGTACCATCACACAGAAAAGGAAACGCAGCAGCAACACTTGTAGGTATGGGGTGAAAACAGGAGATACAACACTGCAAGGCACAGTTAGCTTTTTTGCCCCCTTTTGATCAAAAAATTCTGAGCTGTTGTTTATCTTAGTGGTAAGAAATTGACATTTCAGCAGTCCATGAAAATACTTAACCCATCCCACTGTTGGTCTGAAGCTCATTTTCAGATACTCTTTTTTTTTTTTTTTTTGATGCAGATTAGTAGGGATTACTGAAGAAATACTCAACCACATTTCATACTTATGCAGTTAATTATTTTTGTGTCTTCTGCTGTACTCATAGATCTTTTTTTCCAAAACGTAATTACTTTTATCGCAAATTGGGATGACTGAGTGTTAGAATCAACTGTCAAAATGTGCAACAGATCACAGTTCTGGCGAAAGTTGCTATGGCACCTTAAGAGATGGCACTGGTCTTAGTGCAGCAAATTATACACTGGTTCCCTCAAGTGGTACAGTGCTGAAATACAGGATTCTCTAAATATGAAGGTAACCATAAGTACTTTGCTTTAGAACTTAAGAAGCCCTTACAATAGATTAAAATGTTTAAATTTATTACAGAAAACAGAGGGCATGCTCAGTGTTGCCTTTTTTGAAGGATATAATTATTGTTGCAGTACCCCAGCAGCTAGTATTCAAAGACATCCTGCCTTTTATTCTGAAAATGACAAAGTAACTATTGATATCCTAGCAGACACATGAAGTTGCATTGGCAAAACATCTACAAACTAACTCAAAAATTATCAACTGTTCAGAGTAAAAACTCTAAACAGAAAGAAATAGAAAAATACCATATTTCAGAGAAAAGTAAGAGAATATGTGAGGAGAAACTATAATAAAGTATGGCTGAGTCTTATACACCAACCTGAAGCATTCTAAATGTTTTGGGCTACAATTCCCAGTATTCCTGCTGGCTGGAGTCAAAAGCCAAACCATCCAAAATCTGGAGAGAGTCAGCTCAGGGGAGAGTGCTGTACATATTTAATGATGATCTAATTGAACTAAATGGGTTTGTTTCAAAGTAAACATGTCTAGAATTGTAGTATAAATGGCCTCTTCCTAAAATAAATTTTAGGTATTCATCCACTTATAAGTGAAAATGAGCAAATGATACTTAATTGTGTTTCACCATTCACCCTTGAAGACAACAGCATTTAAAATCCTAAACAAGTCCAATATATCTAATGATATATCATTAAATACCATTGTCTTTATTTTTTTTAAATTAAAGCATGTTAATTGATACCATATTACACTTACAATTGTTCTTCTTCTTTTGTTCTTTTATCAGAAACTAAGTAGACAGTTCCAAAGCTTCCATGTCCAAGTTTTTGCTGAATACTGTATCTTCCTGCAATTAATGTCTTCGAGCCAGTAGAAATAGTTGCAAGAGGAGGACCACATTTAACTACTTCTTGGAATCTCAACATTGCTCCATGTGACAGAGCTAGCTAAAGATTTATAATGAGTCTACAGAATTAAGGGCTCCTTTGTCAGGATATGTACATGTTGTACCTGCAAAAGAAGTCAAAGGAGGGAGGGAGGGAGGGAGAAAGAAAGAAAGAAAGAAATCAAAAGCCTATGATGTATTCCTTAGTATTTTCTGTGGTTGAACATTTGTTTTTATTCTGTTTTTGACTGTATTGTTATTTTAAACTGTACATTATTCTGAAGGCTCTTGTGGGTGGAAAAGCACTTTATACATGCTTCCATTAATAAAAACAATAATTTAAAAATACCAAGTATGTGAATGAGGAACTGAGATACAGTCTAGCTGAATGAAGTGACTACAATTTTCACAGACATCATGCCATTTCTACATTGGCCCCAAAGTTATTCATCATGGGCAGTATCAAATTTTGCACTGGCACTCATGGAAATGATGTTGTGCTAGCATAAGCAAACTCCATGCAACACCAAGAGCATTTTCTGGTGTACTGGGTGTCTCAAGCACTGGTGTTAGACTAGAGGTTTCTTATACTAGCACATGAAATTTTTATTAGCCCTAGCCCCAAAATGTCTCCTATCTCCCCATGACAACAATCATGGGGGAAATAGATCTCTGTCTAGAACAGGAACAGAGAATCTAATACCTTAGGAAATACAAGCAGGATTGTTACTACTTAATGGTGCAAAAAATGTTCAGCAGTGCAGATAGTTCTCCATAGCTTAAATCAGGTTTGACGAAAACTATGCCTTTAAACTAGTATAACATTTCTGGAATAGCTCCCCAGAGAAATTCACCTGGTGCCAAATTATTCTCTTTTTTGTGCCTGGCAAAACATTTATCTTTACCAGGTTATTTATTTATTTATTTATTTATTTAGTAAAACATTTCTATGCCGCCCCATTCACCGAAGCCTCGGGGCAGTTCACAACATTAAGTTAAAATACAAGAAATAACAACATAAAATAAGTCGCCCTGGCCAGATAAAATCAAATAATATTAACAATTAAAATGACGCTTAAATAAAAAGGTCTTCGCCTGGCGCCGAAAAACAAATAACGACGGCACTAGGCGGACCTCTCTGGGGAGCGCATTCCATAGATTAGGTGCCACCGCAGAGAAAGCTCTCCTCCGAGTACCTACCCTCCTAATTTCTTTCACGGAGGGTTCCCGGAGAAGGGCCTCTCCTGCAGATCTCCAGGGGCGGGCGGGCATATATGGATGTAAGCACTCCTTCAGGTAACCAGGACCCAAGCTGTTTAGGGCTTTATAGGTTATCACCAACACCTTGAATTGGGCCCGGACTTCAATGGGAAGCCAGTGAAGCTGACGGAGGACTGGAGTCATGTGACCATAACGCCCAGTCCCCGTCAGCAGCCTGGCAGCTCTGTTTTGAACCAATTGAAGTATCCAGACCGTCTTCAAGGGTAGCCCCACGTAGAGCGCATTACAGAAGTCAAGTTTTAACAACTGATTTTAACTTATTTAATGCTAATGATGTCCTTTTGTCCTTTTAACCTACTATATATATTTAAATAGTGACTATGATATAGTTGCTGTTTTATTATGTTTTATTATTTTATTCCTTTTAAGAATTGTGTATTTATTACTGATGTAAGCCACCTAGAGATCCCTATTGGAATAGCTAGTGGCAAACAAGTGGAAAAATAAAGAAATAAATGGAACATGGGAAGGGGTTGGGCCATGTATTTATTAACTAAGCGATATTATCTGCCTTCTTCATTTCTAACTTCCTCTTGCAGTAGACTGGATAGTATATTCCATTTATTATTATTATCATAAAGTGCTTTTACAGTATTGCCAGTCTGCTCAAGAGAAACTAAACTACTTCTCAACATATTTTGTGAGCACATTCCTATATTTCTCAAGTAGACTTCTGCCTATTGCACTCATGTACATATAAAACTTCCCTTTGATTTTATTTGCTTGCCAGTTGACTCTCAGTTCTTCCAATTTCTTTCCTTCTTTTCTTCTGGTCAGTTTAGTAATTTGCAGCCTACTGTGTATATGCAGATTATTATTTCTTACACAACCAGTCCCCCTTTTACTTTTTCTATTATCCATCAGTATGCCCCAGTTTCACTGGTTCACCAACATGCCAAATTCTTCCATTTAAAACAGTGGATTAGATCCTTATATCAAGTGAAACAAAAACTGAATCAACATAACTGAGGAACAATGAAAAATCCTAATAATGTTAGTTTATCTATTACTACTGATACTTTGTAACTTTATAGATCTATTTCATTACCATCTGTGTGGGATAGATTGATCTTCTCTCTGTGTTGTTGCTTTAATAACTGCAACATGATTTGCAAAATTATATTGTATGTTATACAAGTTTCATTTTAAAATTGCAGAAGCCTGCGCTTAAACAGTAGCTTTCTTCATCAAACTGTTTCCAAGCTCAATGAGACTCATGAGTCTGTAATTTGTAACAATAACACCATGTGTGTGAAACTGTTCTCACACCCAGCTGCTGAGATACTGACACATCCTGTGCCAAGGATTTGTACTTGGCAGTGTGATTTCCTAATGAAGTGCAGCCAAACTTCTAATTACTAAAAGTGATATTCACAATAGAACAAATAAATTGTACTCTTGGCTTAAAAAAGAAAACACTTCAACGAGACAGATTATGAGCATCTTTCTAATTCCATGCCCTCCTACAAGAAGAGAGAATAACAAAAACAAAGGTAAAATAAGAGCATTAAGCTAAGACTACCAGCTAGGAGCACTCTGCTTCCATAATTCACAGTTTATTTCACAAAGACAAGCAGGCCATAATAAAGTCTGCATAACAAAAATATCTGCTAGTATTTTCAGTCTCCATGTTGCTTAGTTTTCCCTGAAAAGACAGAAGGATTTTATGTAACTAGCACTGTTTACAATATGGGCTAACAGCACTGAAATACTTTTGCCTTTCTCCAAACTGGTGCCCTCCAAATGTTTTTGGATTGGAACTTCCACCAGTTCCAATCAATATGGTCAATGACCAGGGATTATGGGATTTGAATTTCAAGACATCTAGATGGCACTAGGCTGGGAAAGATTGATGCAAGGGATATGAAGAGTTTTCACTATTCTATATAAATATTAAGGTAGTATCACAGGCACATGGGTAATAACTAATCTGTGTCTGCCTGTGCAGTGACTATGCCTCCAACATTGGATCTGGTTCTGATGTTATTTTTCTCACTTGATGGAATTTCACAGGAGGAATATCAATTCATTGCCATCATGTATTCTGGTCACCAACCTCCAGCCTGATCACAAAACCAAGCTGAAAGTGGATGAATCTAATAATTTTTAAACCACACTTGCCCAAGGTCACCTATTAATTCAGGGTTTTGGCTGGGATTTTACATAGTAGATATCTCCATTGGCCAGACTACAGCACGGCCTTATATACTAGCATTCTTGAACTTGGTGGCCTCCAGATGAATTGGGGAAGCTGAGTTTTTCCTGCCATCAGTTTCTGAAGAGATCTTCAATTGGCCTAAGATAATTATATTCAGATGCTATCACTTTTTTATAACATTTGTTTAATAGTTGAAAATTGTTAAAGCCTTGGGTGCTTAGGCAGAAAAGAACCACAACAACATATTAAATAAATAAATGAGGATGATGAGAGTTGTAGACAAAGATATCTGGAGGGTGCTGGGGAAAACTGGTATATATACTAAGACTAGGAGCAAATCAATCAGAGAAACATCTCCAAAGTTCGTTTACACTTGGTTATCATCACGGATGCACGTTAGAATCCACTCATCACATTACACAACAACCTATGCTCAACGTTGTATGTGGGTTGCTGCATTGGTGTGAATCCAGCTGCACTAATAAACCATCAATGGGCAAAGAGAAATCATGGTTTCTTGTTACACTGTGAACTGTAGGTTGTTTGTGGATATGTTAGCATGGTTTCGCTTGCTTCTCATCTTATAACATGTCATTCTGCAACAACCCACATTCAAACGATCTTTAACTCTGAATATGACTTGTTCTGTTGTACAAACTCAGCTGCGCAGTGGAAGACTGAAAGGTCGCTTCTTTTTAGCTACGCGGAAATTTAGAGGGTGGCCAAAGGCCTCTTAAACATAATGTAATAATAACAATTAAATAAGAAAATGTGGGCGAAAGAACTGGGAGTGGGTGGAAGCTGCTGGCTGTTCATTTACCTTGTCCTTCCACACGAGCAAGATATAAGAGGAGAAACAGGAGTCCAAAAGAGGGGCTTGTATGCCTGGCGCCGGTTCCCCCCGCAATACCTCCAGCTCCTTTGTTCGCTCTATTTCGCGCTGTTAAACTCTCCCCCAGCGCACACTCCCGCTTCCCTTATGTTTGGCCTGCGTTGCTAAGAGACGGCGCTTTGCATGACGGGAATGCTCTCGGAACTCGCTGACGCTAGAGAAGCCGGCTGCATAGTGCGCAGGCGCTTGCCCCGCTGATGACGTGTAGCTTTGGTCCGCTCAATCCTTCTGGCCGTCCGCATCATCCAGCCTGGCGTTGGAGGGCTTAGGAGTAGTGTGTGTCGCGTGCAGGTATGTTGAGGCGGCCTGCCAAGCGGGAGGTTTCTGCCAGTTCCGGTGCTTGTCCCTCAAAGCAACTATTAGCATAGGCCGCAGGAAGTCAAGGACTGGGGCAGCCGCCTCTAGTGATGAGAACGGAACGGGCAGCTTTCTGTGTCTGGTGTAAAGCCGCGTGCCAGATAGAAACACAACATTATGCAGTTGTTTCCCTCATTACATTGCAATGCTAGAAAAAGTGAGACCTGTTGAATTTCTGCCTAGCATGGCACTGTCAAAGCACAAGCCTGTCACAATCTTTTTGGGGAAGGAGACGGTATTCCTATCAGGCAGCCCAGCCTAGGCCTGGAAGAGGAGCTTAATTTCTAAAATGGGAGGCAAAGGACCTTGAGGTTTCTTCAGAAACATGCGTAGCACTTCAGGTGCCACCTTTGTCTCCTCTACCTCTACAGATGCAAGATGGGTGGAACGTCAAGGTGCACCGTTTTCCGACGGCAGCACTTTCTCCCACTGCAGCCAAAGTGCATCTGTCTTGTGCTTAACTTAGCCACCAGGATTGTGGTGAGAGAATCAACAAACCTCGACCTGAGCTTTTCCTAAAAATACAGAAAACTCAGTGCAGTGCACATTCATCTTAAAGAAGTTATGGTTTGCAGTAAGTTTAGTTTTTTACTGCAATGAAACTTAAACACAGTTCAGACAGTAGTATTTGAAATCCTTAGGTGGTGACTTGTCCCATTCCACTTCCCCCAGCTATTTCCATAAGAAGTTCTCTGGTGAAATTGAGGTAGTGAGGTGACCTTTTAAGACTTAAATACATTTAATGACAGAAGTTGGAATTAATCCTAAGAAAGAGCCAAATGTAGTATGAGAAATTTGCTCCCAATGGGAACTTTGGGAGGGGTTTGTGTTGCCAGTGCTAACTTTAACAGCCTAATATCTAATGCATAGCAAATTCCCACTTTGTATGTTTATGTAAGAAATATTAAAAAACACAGTCAAAGGCATGCCAATTCATCTAAGTATGAAATAATAAAATTACACACAAGTTCCACAAGTGGGATAATAATGCAGCAATTCCTGTATGTATGGAATAAAATAATACACGAGTACATATGACAGAATTACTGCCAGTGGGCCCTGGTATACAAGTACCATTGACCTCAGTTGAATTCTAAGTAAACCTGGAGTAAACTGTAAAGAAAAATGCGTTTCTTGTAAAATTGTGGCAAACTGGAGGTTTCCATGCACATTCATTTAACGTTCTATTGACTGTATTTTAACAGCAAGGCTGTAGATCATAATTGTTGTATTTTTCCATTTTAGAACTTGTTCTAAACTGCACAGAGAGCTTCAGCTATTGGGCAATAGAGAAATTAAATAAATGAAATATTTCTGCACAACAAGAGATGGTTTTCATTGCTTGCAAATAATGTTGTCTCATACATTGCCTTTCAAATCTGTGAAAAATAAACAATATGCCAATTAGGGAGGGACTCTTAGGGACATAATTCTTCAGAATCTTAGTTCCAAGGCCAGAGACTGCCTCAACCTCACACATAAGTTCTGCTTCCTCTGCCCCATCACCTCCCAGCTGGTGTAGGGAGAACTACATCAACTGCTCTCCAAGGTGAGAAAAACAGAGTGGCAAAGCAGGGTAGAGAGCAAAGGAGCCTGGGGAGTCCAGGATACAAGGTATCCTGATGTCTTTCCAACTTTCTCCTCTTCCTCTCTGAAGTGCTGCAGCTCCATGGATAAAAAGCCCTGCCTAGCAAAAATATTGAGAGGGAAAATCGAGATGCAAAAATCACCTCTCCCTCTCCTGCAATCCTCCATTGGGTATCTGTAAGGGACTTATGGACACCCCAGTAAGATTGCTTCCTTAGTGTTTGAGTGGATTCCCGAAAGGGGAGTCAGGGGAGGGGTTTGACACAATATCCAGAATGCCCAATAGTATAGATCAGTATGAATAGATATGTTTTAGTACAACCATACTAGATCCTTGTATCTCCTCTTTTTGCCAAACGTTCCAGGGTGAGGGAGTGGATGGAGGCTACTACAAAGATAGGAAACATTATTCCTGCAGTTTTTGACATCACTAGGTCAAAAGCCTGTTCTAGCCTGTGGCTACATTTCATCCTACAGTTTCCAGAAACACTCCCTGCAAACAAGCGTTTCAATGTATTTGATGAAAGGATGGATGTGGGGAGGGTCTTGCAGTAGGAATGAATGGCTTGGAAGCCTCTGTGTTGTATTGTGTTTTTGCAATGTCATTGGAAGCTTGAAGAAAATTCAGTTCAAAATGTGTTTGCAATTAAAATGCATTAATTTGGAATGTACAGTGAGGATAGGCCATTGATAGCAATGCTAACTTCATTAATTTCTGCAGTTGCAAGTCTCATAAGGAATAATTCATTTAAAATCCAAATAATTCTATGGACTGGTTGAAAAAGGTTCCCAGCAGGTTTTATACATTTTAGGTATTACCTTTTGAATTGTGCTGTTTAAAAAGCTACTTTCTTTTTTCCAGCAGGGTTTTTTCAGCTCACTAGTATGGGCATCCAAGGATTAATGAGCTATGTGATGGAACATCAAGAGTTCTTTGTTGACCTACAGTTGAGGAACACAGATGTAGTAATTGATGGCAATAACCTGTACCACCGTCTTTACTTTGACTCAGATCTGGACATGAGGCATGGTGGGGATTATAATTCTTTTACGGATATTATATGTAAGTTTTTTGAAGCATTAATTTTGTGCAACATACAGCCTTATGTTGTGCTAGATGGAGGGTGTGATGCATCTGACAAAAAGCTGATAACTATAAAGGAAAGAGCTCGAGAGAAGATTCAAGCAGCTCATTCTCTCTCATGTGGTGGTAGAGGAAGCGTATTGCCTTTGCTTGTCAGAGAGGTCTTTAAGCAGATCTTGACTAAATTACAAGTCCCTTTTGTCCAGTCTTTTTCAGAAGCAGACCGGGACATTGTGTCATTAGCCAATCACTTGAATTGTCCTGTATTAACTTTAGATAGTGACTTCTGCATTTTTGACCTCAAAGCAGGCTATTGTCCTCTGAATTATTTTCAATGGCGAAACCTTTGCACGTGCAAAGACTCAAAAGACTGCTACATCCCAGCAAGGTGCTTCTCATTAGAAAGATTTTGTAAGCATTTCAGCAATATGAACAAAAGTCTCCTACCTCTTTTTGCAGTGATGAATGGCAATGATTACATTAATCTTCCAGCTATAGAAAAGTTCTTTAGCAAAGTACACCTTCCCATTGGAAGCTCCCAGCAGAAGGGTCGAAAGCACACTCGTATTCAGGGACTGCTGAACTGGCTATCTCGTTTTGCTGATCCTGCTGAGGCTGTAGAAAATGTACTGACATATCTTAAAAAGCATGAGAAAGAGGAAACACGACAATTTCTGTCTACTTTTATGGAGGAATATGAACCATCCAGTGTCAATCTCAAAGATTTTTTTCAGCATGGAATTTATGAAGCTGAGGAAGCAAAGAAATTAGAATTACCTCAATGGATTCTTACTGCTTTAGCTAAAGGCCTTCTAGCACCATTCATCAGTGATGCACTGGTATTAAGAAGAACAATCCTTCATGCTCAGGTGGAAAATATGCAAAGGCCTAGTGCCCACTCTACAGCACTGCCAATTCGACAAGTTATCTACAGGCTACTTCTGAATGTTTCACAGCATTCACTCAGCACATCCCCAGGCAAGCAACCCACTCGATCTGCTCCTGTTTTCCATGAATTTGACAGAATCCAAAAAGCACTCAAGAAATCACTTGTTCAGGTAGCAGCATTGTCTGAAAAATGTTGTGACCAATATTCTCTGGCTACGTTAAATGAGGTAAAATTTCAAATGATGTCTAAACATCTTGGTAGGATTGGGTATATACTAAAGTATGGCATGTAATACTGGGTGCACAATCTAGCTTCTTTCATTCTACCAGCTGGGTAGAGCTATCCAACTCATCTCATCCAAGCCCTGCCACACGCGAATGCTAATAGGACAGAAATGAGCAACATTTTCCTCTCAGCCTTCCATTAAAAAAATGAACAAATTTCTTCCAGTGTAAGCAGTGGGAAGGGAATTGTGTACAACAGCTCAAGGACTGGCAGATGTCTCCCCTATCTCAGGGGCATGTCTGGGGACAGGGTCTATTTTGCATTCAGTGCATCTAAACCCTCTTCTAACCCATCCCTTTTTTGCCTCTACTGACATTGGAGCTCAATTGTTGGAGAGACAAGGGGCCCCAGAAGTTTCCAAGGTCAGGCCTTCCGACGCTTTCCAGTGCCTGCCTTTTAGTCCTTGAAGAGGAGATTTACTTGTTCTGCCTCCCAGGAACCATAGGAGTGCAGCCTATTTAAAAATAAAAAATAAAAACATGTTTCCAGCCCTCAGTTACAAAGATAAACATGAAAATGCATCAGGAATGTCTGCTGAAATGTCAAACCCTCTCTATAGGATTGCCAATAGTAAGCATGCTTCAGTGCTCTCTATAATTTCTTAGCGATACTTCTGTTGCATTTATTCCAAGTGATTTGCATATAACTAAACAGACTAAAGTAGACACAATAATGCAGTTACGTTAAAATCTATGTTGACCTTTGGCATAACCTTTTATTTTACATAAAGGAAGGTATGCCAAAGTGCATCATTCATACAGAGTGTACAAAATGGATATCTTAGTGCAGAACATCGAATGCTTTTGGAAGGCTAATAGCAGAATGCAGCAATTAGTACTGGAAGTTATTTTTCTTAGTGTAGAGAACTAAAAGTTTGTCAGTCATTGGCTATGAGAGAGACAGGTGCATAATTATATGGCTGAAATGGAATTAATGATCTTATACATAACTAAATTTATGCATATGTATATAAATGGAAGGGTACGTTGAATATGGAAATACATTTATCCCAGTCCATCCCAAAGGGTTTAAGCAGTTCTTCAAATAGATTCAATATTTAGAATCAGATTGATTTTCTCCTTACTGCTACTTGCACAAGACAAGTTACCAATAGGACACAATCCTTACAGGAAAAAATGTAATAGAGCATGAAATTATGGCTCTTATTACAAAATCTTGAAAGTAATTTACAGATATTTTTAAAAATGTCTTGTTCTCTTATATATACTTTTCCAAATGCCCCACCTCCTAAAAGCATGCCAAGGGGATCCTTGTGAAGGGATAGAGATGGTTTTCTTATATGCAAGTAATATAATAGATCTTAAAAGACTCAGTGGTGAGGGCAAAGACTTACTTGCTTTTAGAGTCCTGGTACAAGATTATTTGCTCCTGCTTAAAATACATAATGGGGGTAGCTCTCTTTTATTGCAACTTCTCTATTTACAGGTTTCCATGTCAGACCGGCAGCTATTTTTCTTGGAGACATTAGGAGTGACAGCTAGTATGCTTGAACCCATTCCTTGCCTACTGAAGCTCCCTATGGCTGTAACCTGTTACTGGGCACAGCATTCAGAACCAAAAATAAAGTTACCACACATGAAAGCTTTACTACTTGGAGTGGTATTTGGTGAATTAGACAAGATACTGCATAGTTCAGGTAGGTTGAGAAGGGGTCAGGTTTGATCTCCTTTTTAGACTTAGTGACTATTTCCTTAGTTTCTGTACTTGAATTTACACATATAGATACTCCATTTCAGTTCATGATTACACAGCATTTTGGCTCAGTGTTATAAACATTCATGTTACCTTTTGAAAAGAAATAGTAATATCTATGAAATGTTTATAAATTTTCAATTTACATATGCTATGAGCAGTACTTCACTAAAAGGTACTTAATGTCACTTGTATATGTAGACAAGGTTCATCTCTGTCGTCATTAAATCAGAGATTCAAGAAGCATATTACTTTACTGATCAGAACCTGATTTATGTGTAGTACATCTCTCTGCAGCAAAGAAATATGGTATAGGTAAATCATGATCTATTCAAATTAGGTAAAATTTATTAATTATTCCTGTCTTTATTCTCAATAATACGTAAGAATACCCATTGAATTCTGTACTGACTACTACCCTCCTTTTATAGTCCAGGAGTAGATCATAGGCAATCCTACTCCAAGCACAGGCAGTACCAGAACTATACAACACTGGGCAATGTGCAAGAAGCTGGTATGGTGAGGAAGCTGAAGCAGAGAAGCCAGGTGATTAGAGAAGTATTGCTGCCTCCACATCTATGCTCCATCCCATATGTGGCATTGCCAAATGTTGGAAACCTTGCTTTTCAAAAGGATACATGCAACTAAGTTAACTTAGAACTTGGCTAAGAGCCTTCTTATGATGAAAATTCTTAGTATTCTAGTTAAACTTTGCAAAACATTTTGTGAACCTTTGAGTTAGAATTAATGCCTGCTACAGATGTTTATATATTGCAAATGTAATTAGGTAATTATTCAAGAAATGGTTTGATCAATCATGTAACCCTTGGGATACTTAATATTGGGCCTAAGACGATGGAGGGCTTTAAAATTTGAATCATACTTATGAATATATTTTGCATACAGCATTTTATCAGAAAAAGGAATATAGTAGCAAACTGGAGAAGGAAATGCATGTACTTCAATTGCATACACTTTGGCTTAAGTACAATAGGGTATTGCAACTAAAATGGTATTGCCAAAGATTCCAGAAAAAAATGTGATTTTTGTGGAGGGATAGGAAGTAAAGGAGGTGATATCTGAACTATTCCTAGTTTCATCTCAGTCTGGGAGAAAAAGCAGAGATTTGGCCAGAATGTATTCCTCAACGTCCAGTACAACCCATCAGCAAAATAACCAATATGGAATGCCTTTTAAGGCCTCCATTATTTATTATATGAGGTACTTCGGAGAACAGCACTTAAGCCTAAAGTAGTAAGTAGGCAGTAGCTACTATTTGGGAGAATCTCATGACCAAAAGATTTAGAAACACTTTTTCATACACTGTACACTGTCTCAATCCATTTAGAAAGGTTTGCTTTTTTCCCCTTAATTCCTATATAGATTCCGAGGTTCCACATCTTGAGATCAATAAAATTGTGTATGAACAGTTCTTGGAATGGGGAAAAAAGTCTCCAAAGGAAGCATTTGAATTAGATACTGCACACATCTTCTGCCAATGGCAGTGCTGCCTTCAAATGGGATTGTATCTCAACCAGCTGCTCTGTACTCCTCTCCCTGAGCCAGATCTGACACGGTAAGAACACCCAAGCTGCAAATCTGTGTATGCTCACTAGTACACTAACCCTGTCAAATTACATAGGACTTATTCTGCACAAGATGATGCAATCAAAAGAAAATTAGGTAACGCCTCACATCTATCTCAGTGAGGCTTAAATATCCCTATTTGGCTTGTGCTTAGTAATATTCAATGTACTTCAGTTTGCTGCTGAACTAGAGAGTTTCAAACACACTGTCATTTACGGCACTATTTTGCTTTTTCAGAATATTATGAATACAAGCCCAAATAGTTGCTAATGTATGGAACTAAATCTTTTCAGCAACAGAGCCAGTCATTTTCAGTATTTCCCTTAATTGAAATAGACATTGACACAAAGTTGCTGCTGGCCAACAAAGTGTCAGTTTGATGCTGGGTGTGTTTGCAATGTTACTATCAGGATTTTCAAGGGACTGTTTATGTATATGTCCCAACTATACTCGAATACATGCTGTGGGAATATTTATTTATATGGTGCCTTTTTTTTCCTTTAAGGAACTCAAGGCAGCTTACATAATTTTCTTCCTCCTGTCAATCTTATCCTAACAACCATGTAAGGTAGGTTGGGCTGAGAGTCTGTGCCTCACCCAAAGTCATCCAATTAGCTCCATGGCTGAGTGTGTATTAGAACCTGGAGTTCCCAGATCCCCAGTCCTGCACTACACAAACCTGTGTAAGAATATCTGTTTATACCTTATAGCCCTCCCTAACAGGCACCCTCTGAATCTGATGGACTACAGATCCCACCATTTCTAGACAGTAAACGGCGATTGAACATGCTATCTGGAGCTTATGGGGGTTGTGGTCCAAAACATGTAGAAGGTGTGTGGCTGCTACAGAAGAATTTGCATTAAATGTCATTTGTATTTATTTATATATCACTTCATATTCTGGTTTGGAGATTTTGTAGCAGTGAACAGTAAACAGTAAAGGAAATAAAAGAATAAATTTGTTTAAAAGCAAGATTAGAAAAACTATCAAAACCATGAAGGCTAGATATTCTGGAAGGATTCCTGAAATAAGCTTCTTCAGGAGGGGCTGGAAACAATATATTGGTGCCTGCTCACCCTCCAGAAGCAGAACATTCCACAGGAAGGGAGCCACTATACTGAACTCTGTCAGGATGGGTTCCAGTCAGTCTATAGAGCTGTATGGAACCACCAGGGACATGCCATATGATGACTTTAGCAACCAGGCAGGTTGGTAAGAGAGAATGCACTCTCAGGTGTTTTGGTCCTGAGCTGTTTAGGGCTTTTTACACTAGTAAAACCTTAAACCTGACCCAGCAATCAATAGGCAGCCAATGCCATTTCCCTCAGCAAGGGCAGCTGCTAACAACTGAACAGCTACACTAGATTTAATTTCTAACCAGCTTTAAAGATTAGCCCCAAATAGAGTGCACTGCAGCAAGCCAGTGTTATCTTATATATCTTGATGGCCAAACTATCCCTGTCTGGGAGAGGCTGTTGCTAGCAAAACTGCCCATCTGCTGGGTTTGAGAAACTCGTCCCCACAGAGCTTCCATCTGCCGGGATTCAGCTTCACTTTATTGGCTGTCATCTAGCCCATCACTGAGAACTTGCACAGCCTTACCTGATTCAGGTTACACAGGGAGAGAGTTGTTAGCATTGTGACAGTACTTTGGCTGCAAATTTCCAATGACTGCTCCAAGCTGCTTCATGGATATGTTAAATAACATTGGGGAGAAGTTGGTATCCTATACTTGAATTCATATGTATAAATAACTCATTTCTGTATACAACTGCATAGTTTAGTTGCCAAATTCTGAGAAACAGAAATTCACTGTTAATTTCGGAAACAGTTCAATAGTAACCCAGTGGTACTTTCTGAAACTACTGCAACACAGTGCCTCCAATTTCCAGCCCAAAGTTGATCCAGGAGAATACCATGATTGAGGGTATCAAAAGCTGAGAGACTAATCAGAATTAGGAAGGTCACTATTCCATTGCCCGCCATGAATAAGTCATGAATAAAGCGACAAAGGCGATTCAGTCCCATAACATGGTTGAAACTCAGACTGGAATAGGTGTAGATAACCAGTATCTTCCAAACATACCTGCACTTGTTCTGTCTCCATTCTTTTAAAGTACCTTGCATAGGAAAAGGGTATTTGTGACTGGGCAGTAGTTGTCAAGTAGCATTGGGTCCATTTTTTAAAGCAAGGTCAAAGCTCTCGATGCATTCTTCTGAATTCTTACCTTACCTTGTAAATTAGATTAGTATTACTATCCCCATGTTCTACATGAATGATTGAGGGTAAAGGGTAGTGGTTTGATAAGCTACATAGCTGAATTGCACTTCTGAGTTATCACACCACCCTTGCTGTTTCAGTGTTTTTAGCTGCACCCAGAAGCACACATTTTACAAAAATCCCATTAATTAGGGGATTTTACTTATCCAGAAGCATTATTATAGAGCACTCAAGATTCCACACTTGTCAGCATTCAGTGGTGTGTTGCAGTTTCTATTTTTAACTCCAGACAGGTTTACAGAATTACCCCTGCCTCACCTGAGTTTGACAAATGAAGAGTAGAACCCTGTATCTTCAACATATTGAAGATAACTCACTCCAAGTTCAGACAGTGTCTCCTACTACTTTCACACAAGTGTTAAAAATTATGGGAGAAAAGAACAGTGATGCCTCATCTACCCCTTCCATTCAGAAGGAAAGGAAATCACTGCAGCCATGCCCCAAAGCTCCAGTTCAGAAAAGGAATACAGAAAGACAACTATTGATAGATGGCATGGAAAGCCCATGTGAAGGTCAGAAGCATCAGCTCGGTCATATTACCTGGGATTGTCCATTATGCGGCTGAAGTGGATCCAGATAAATCTTTGTCTAAGAGCGATTAAAGCTGACTGAAAAACCATCTTTCCACGGCTACTCCCCACACCCACACAGTCAGCATTCTGAGGTCATTGAACACATTCAGTCTCCATTAGGCTGTTTTAAGTTCCCACCCCACAGCCTGCTTTAAAGAACAGAATTCCACTACTGGAAACCTTGAGATTCTCCCAGACTTGGGTATGAATGGTGCTATTTTGGCTACATAAGGATCCAAACTCACTTTGAACTTTGGAAATAGAAAGAATAATAAAACCAGCAGCTTTATTATAGCAAGTAACACACAGTGGGCTGGTGGTGTTCATATGCTCAAAGGGAATTCTAACAGGCACTTGACAATCCTCAATGCTTCCCTGCATAACTCTTAAGAGACTTAAAAGAGTCAAGTGAGTCTTGGATTATTGGGCAGTATGAAAATGAAATAAATACATAATAAAACAGTGTTTTTCCAGACTGGGAAAAAAGGAAAGCAGGTTATTCAAGTATCTATTTCAAGGACATGTCTTAAGGCGTCTTATGCCATAAGGAAAACCTTCATTCTGAATTCTAAAGTAAGTTTTCTTATCAAACCACCAAATTAACTTTTGCTTCCATCTTCAACAGACTTTACAATGGGACCCTTGTGCATAGACTACACCATCAGCTTAAATCAGGACCCACACCAGAAAATCTGCTCAGCACATCTCCAAGGATGTACCAGCTTTATTGCAACATGGTTCATGTAGTGAAAGATGCAATGCCACTAGGCTTCTTCCAGAAAAAATCCAAATCACAAAGGAAAAAAAACAAGCACGCTACTTAATTAGTAGCATGGAGAAAAGATAAGGTACTATGTTGGAAACTTTGTTTTCAAGCAATATTAACAGATATGTAAGTGATGGTGGATTACTAAAAGCACATTTTATTAGATAAAGATTGTGGATAGGAATCTATTTTTTACATTCAATCTCTAGTAGTTCTTTTGCAAAATGAAATTCCAAGAAGTAATGCAAGGAAGTACATGATGCTTTGTACATGATTTGCTGTTACTTGCTGGAATCTGAGATAGTCAAAACACACAAAGATCTTTGGATAGTCTCAGAGTGCTGGCAAATTCATTTATGGTGTACAGTATACCTCCTTTTTGTGGAATTTTTCTCCTGAGCGAGTCCAAGCCGATCTCCTTGTGAGTAAGCCGGTGCCTTGCCATGCGGCAACTCACTCACAAGGAGATCGTTTCTTTTGTTTGGACTCACTTGGAGAAAATGATCTCTGCATGTGTCACCCCTGCCTTGCCACGCGCATGCACCTGCCCCCCAGCCCGGCCTGCACCGCCTGCCCGCACCACCTTGGCTGCCGGCGCCAAATTCACGTTTTTTCACAATTTGCGGATGCTTTAGGAATGTAACCCCCGCGAATGTCAGGGGACTACTGTATTTCATTTATGTGCTACTCTTGACTATCCTCAGGGAAGTACTAGTATAGCCCCATGGCCTAAACACAAATCCCTATGGTGGGATGGATAACACCCTGCATTCTTGTCCACGTACCATGCTTACAAGAGCCTCTGAGCATCCAACTATCTGCAGGTTTATCTTCTGCCTTCCCCTGCCCTATGGGATACCTATGAGACAAAAGGTACACACTACTTGTGCATCACTTAGAACAGGGGTCCTCAAACTTTTTCAATACAGGGCCAGTTGAAAGGTGGTGGATACATGTGTGCGGCCCAGTGGGGGGGTGCCTGGGTGCGCAGGCTGGTGAGGCGTCGGGTGCGTGCAGGATGGCATTGAGTGTGCGCAGCGGTGACTCACTCAAAGATTTCCCAGCAAGTTCAGAACCATCTCTGAGTGAGCAAGCCACTGGCGAGCGCGCGTGCGCGGGGGAGGCAGGTGGCAGCGGCGGCTTGCTTGCTCGGAGATGGTTTTGAACTCACTGGGAGATCTCCCAGCAACAGCGAGTCCAAAACCATCGAGCGAGCAAGTTACTGCCCTCCTGTGCGCGGTACGTGTGGACAGCGGTGCGGGCCGGATGAAAGAGCATGATGGGCTGGACCCATTCCACGGGCCGTAGTCTGAGGACCCATGACTTAGAATCTAGTAGTTTGTGTATAGTTCTAAATGAAAAATTTGTAAACTTTGATGTGGATAAGTTTTGGCAATATTTCCTGAAGAATTTGGACACACAACTATTTGCTAGTTGTAATAATCTTTTACCAAAGTAAACAGTCTCAGGTCTGTTACGTATTTTTTACATATAGCATTTTCTTCAAAATGGTTCATAGGACCCAATTTTTCTTAGTGCTGAACAAAAGTCCAAGAACCTAAGAAAAAGTGTGCAGTTGTGCAAAATGTGCTGTAAAATTAATGTCAATGGCAGGTGGTATCTGTCATTCCACTAACACGACACAGGAAATGACATGCCACATGTTGAAAATACCTGGTTTATACCTTTAAAATGGTAGGACTTGGGAAATCCAAGTGCCAAGATCCTCTTGCTAAATATCTCCATCTAGGATAGACCACAGCTACTTTATGCCCTTCATACTTTAAAAAAATGCTGCAATCCAAAGAGCATTGTGTTCAGACAGAAAACAGGAATGGTAATTTTTATCTTTTAGTACATGTTTTGTCAAATTTGCTTCCAACCTTCAGAAGCAGTTATTCAGGGGACCCACTGGGGAAGGGAAAGAAAAATAAATAAAAAAGAATTGCTGTGCATTCAAAATACCACGGATTGTGCATGTCTCCCAACTAGAGTTCACAAGTAAGAAGAAACTGGAAGATTCACTGTTTATGCTAAACATTAAAGGTTTGTTGTACCACCAATACTGATGAATTCCAGCTCTTTCTTTTTAAAGAAAGTGTTCCTCCATTCCGAAATGACACACAATCTATTACAAAAATAATACGATACAAGGAAATATTTTGGTAGCTCTATTTTAGAGTAATGCAGTAACACATTAAAAATGAGATCACAGTCCTAAGAGCACCATAGAGATCTTTATCTTTTCAAGCTTTTTTCTTAAGGGTGTAAAGAAAAACATACCACACCAAAGATCCTGACACAGCAAAGATTCAGTTCACTATTAGATGAGACCCGATAATAGGATGTGATTTGTCTGGAATTCATACTGTTGAAGGTGGAAGGAACCACAAAGCCTTTGTTTGGCTTACAGCCAATAGCTCAAGAAAATAACTCAAATGGGGGACAAGGAGTTTATGGTTCAGGAAAGTAGTTAACTTTGGCCAATGTGTAGATCACTTTGGAAGTGTGAAAACATTCAGAGATCATTTTTTTTTATCTGTGACCCGTCATCTTTTAAAATACCAAGATACACATTCACACATTTTAAGAAAAGCAGACATTTACTTCAAAATTGCAATATAGGCTTTTCAATCACAAAAAGAAAGAAAAGACAGTGATCCGACAGTGGTCACATCCTGTGCAAAGAACTTAGGATATATATTAAAAAATAGCACAAGGTACACATTGCAGGATAATGTAAATAAATAGAGGTGCTGAAATATGGCACTCTTACAACTCATTCTAGACCAGATGGAATGCTTCAAATATTTAATAATCAAATCCCACCACCACCATAGTTTTTTTAAAAAATAAAACTAAAATATTTTATCTAATACATGTTTCTATACACATATCTCTCAAGAGCAAAAAGGTGGGTCAGATATTTGCTTTAAAGTAGCCACTCTCACACTTACAAATTTCCATTCAATCTGAAAAGTAAAGTTGTCTTTGAGGAAAAATATTACCAAAGTTGCATAATTTTGTTTCTTACTCCCCCAGCTGGAAGTTTAGAATTGAACAGTCTTTAAAATTGCCAATGTTCATCATCAATCAGTGAAAAGCAGGACTTATTCAAGAGCCCTTTATCTTCTCATGTTACTTCCTCCTATACAGACAGCAGTTTCTAGTTTTGCAAACAGAAAGAATGCAATGTGCATCATACATCAAGGAAAGATGCTAAAGATGAAGATCTGCCATGTTTCTGGGTCTTCTCCCTGCTTCTTTCAACCTTCTTTATTATCTCTGCTACTATACACACTGAGGAAGTCAGGCCCAAAAGAAACAGCAAATCTAAAGGAGGGAAAAGAGTTTTTCCTTTAAAAACAGCACCTGACATATAAAAACAATGTGTAACTGACTTTGAACAAAAGAATTAAAATCCCAACTTTGTGTTAACTGTAAATATCCATTTCATTAAGTTTGTATAGTTACATTTTTCTACCTTGTCAAGAATATGATTTTACTGACTTATTTTTAAAGTTAATAGTGCACAATTTTTATGAAGCCAAGATGAACTGTTTTACAGCTCTTTAATTCTAGTAACTTCAATTATCTACAAAATGCATTTGTATGCTTTTGGATTCATTATTCTTGGATGTAATAACCCAAATTTCCATTCTACTGAAGATGGTGAGAGAAGCAGATCAGAGTTCTGGAGTTCTCAGAGCAGGCTGAACTTGATGAATTGTAAGGAGCTTAGCATGGTTCAACAGAATATTTAGACTATTTAGGGTGGTGCAGCATTTGGAAACAAACCAGAGAGAGGCTTGAACCTACATGCTTGTTTTCCACACCTGCACAGCAATACCTTCTCACCCACCAAAACATAGCTTGCCTTTCCCTCTAAAATTAGCAAACTGTTATTTGTGCTTGTCCTGAAAGCCAGAGTAAGAGAGAAGTGCATTAGCCTGAGTTCTTTGGCTCTTTCATGTAATCTGATCTGATATTGTATACGGCAATAGGAAGGAAGGATAAAGAGGAAGACACGGCTTCAGGAAACACTGAAATGTGATGCACTAAAGGGTAATTTGAAGAAAAAAGCAAGTGATACCATGAAAACTGTTATAAAAGTATCAACAAACACAAGTAATGTTTTAATACATTAACTGTATGTTTTATCCATGGATGCATTACCAACACAATTCGCTAGCAAAATAATATAAACTTCTCACAGCTTTTATTTATTTTGAAAGCCAAACTTCAGTTTATGACACTAAGCAAGAAAATATTCCTTACCTAGTATGCTTAGACTCTCTGTCTGAAAAACCTTCTGAAGAGGAGGGAAGTAGATTACTAGTAGCTGCCCCATAATAGATCCAAGGACTGCATAACAGAACATTTTGTTGCTGCAGAGTCCAATCTCAAACACAGATTTAGTCTACAAGTAAAAAATGTATACTTTTATTCTGATTTCTTCTAGTTACTTGAAATTAAGAACTTCAGACTATAATGTTCCTATTAACTTTTTGGTATCTTAAATGAGTTATGGTTTTAAGTTAATACTGTTAAATATTGATAATTTGCAGAACTTTAACCATCTGAACTTTTCCAAAATATTTATTGTATCATACACTTAAAACACAATGGGTCACATACCTGAGATCTGGAACTCAAAGCATTGAACATATCAAAAAATACAAAGCATGTGAAGGTCATTGTTGTATCTCGGGGGGTTATGACATTGTCACGCAGCTACCAAGAAAAAAAGACAGTTTTAATATATGCAGCTCTCTCCCAGTCTACAATAAAGCATTTTCAAATAACTTTTCATCCAATAATTAGACGCACAATACTAACTGCAAAGCATCCAAATGTGAACAAATCCAATTGGCTGCCTAAGCTCCTAAGGATTTGATACTGGCATCTAGGAATCTATTCATCAGCTCTGTGCAGGATTAGTACCTAGAACTGCAATCTACATATAATTCAAAAAAATACAACAAGACCTATTGATATCTACTTCACACTATCTCCCTACTATAGAAGGGCTTCAAGGCACTTTGGCAGCATATGTGTACTTAAGTCCCAAGTGCCTACCTG